CACCGCCGTCTGGGCAGAGTTGGGCCAGCGCTGGGGCGAGAGGGGGTGATGAGATACTTGCCGAGGAGGATCGAGCGGAAGAGTTGGACAGACTTGAGCGAGGCCGCGACAATCGGCAGTTCCAGGAGCGGCTACTGCAACAGCGGACCATATTCCAAGCAGCAGAGCACCAAGCCGAAGGCGAAGTTTTGGATAAGCAGGCCTCTCTCCCTCCTGCGAACACGAATACGAGCGCGAGCACGAACGCCGTGCACAGCGCCGATGCAGTCGACGCGATGCACCCCAGTTCCTCACCGACGGTGTTTGACCTGGAGGCCATTGCGGAGTTGGAGCAGATCGCGGCCGAAGAAGAATTCGAGTGAGACGAAGACCGGGCGGGCGACATCCTGGAAGAACAGGCTGCCGAAGCTGCAAGGCTTGCGGTCGAGAAAGAACAGCGAGCAGAGGCGTTGGGGCACAATGCGTCGCTTGCTCACGTTGAGGTTGCCGCGAGTTCTGGGCCCGGTTTACCAAGCATTCTTGAGGGCACCTCCGCTTCAACGCAGGAGCCGCCCCTGGAGGCAGACGGGTTCGACTGCATCTTTATTGGCGCGCCTCAAGCCGAGCCCGTCTGCAGCGCGACGCCAGGGTCTCAAGGGGCCGCCAGAATTACCGCGAGAAGTAGCAGTACAACGCGGAGACGGCGATTTGACAGTGGGCGCGCTTGGAAACCCAGGCAAAGGGGGAGAGGGCAGAGTTGCTGAAGTGGTTCAGCACCCCTCTTGACCTCAGACAACGAGGGGGAACTTGTTCGGGCGGAGCTCCCACCGCTAGCACACGCGCCACGCCCTTTGCCAAGCTCGCTGTCTCATGCTCAGCGAGTTGAGGCTGTCCACGGAGTGGAGAGTAGTTCATCGACCCCAGTTTCAGGTCACAGTCGCGACGAAGTTGGTCCTCTGACTGGGCCTTCCTTGGCTACTTCGCGACGGGGCCTTTCCTGCCGCGCGCCAGCTATCGCGCGCGTTGACCATCGTCCTGCCAGGTTGGGTCCAACTATTTCACCGCTGGGCGGTACTGGCATACGACAATCTACGAATGTCTCACCCTTAAGTGGCCAAGGTATGGGATTCTGTGCAATGTGCGCACCTTGCCGATCAACTTGGAGTTCCAGCTACGACGTTGGCACATCCACATGCGACTGGACGCGGGGCGCTTTCAGCATCATGAACACACGAGGTTGGCGCTGGCATACTGTCGCCCCTTGTCTACACCTGTGGACAGGGTCTATATTTTCTGTGATGGTTCTTCTGGCCAAACGACCGTCTGCTTTCGGCATGGGCCCGTGCAGCTGTTCAATCTAATGGGGGAGACTTCAAGTCCGAGGGCTTCTTCAGCGGGTACACCGAAGACAGCGTTGCCCAAGAGGTGGAAGAGGACATGATCAATAATGTGACGACTGAGACGGCAGGGGTGCTATGGGCTATGGTGCATGCTTTGCAGGTTCCGTCCCAGGTTGTCGCGGAGGTCATCCGCGACGGCCGGCCAGCTTTGGGGCGGGCTTCGTCAGGTTGTGCCCAGGCGGAGCCTTTCGCGGTCCAGGCCGCGCGCGTCTACGAGGCTGTCTCTCGGGGGCGCCCACTACGCCACTGCCGCTCAGCAGGGCGCGATGGCCAACCGTGGAATGAGATGTCTGACAGGATCGCCAAGCAGGCGAAGCATGAGGCTCCTCTAGCGCTGCCCTTGCCTGCAGTTGAAGTCCTACGGCCGTCCAAGTGGTGGGGCTGGGCGCCGCATCGGGATCTAGGTTTTCAAGATAGTGCTGCTTTCCCACCGTTGGGAAGTGTTGGTTTTGTCAATCAGCCTTGCCAGCATAGCGCGCTTCACACGTTACCTCAGGAGGCGACGCGGGACCACGCTCAGCGTAGTCATGCGACGAGAGTGGCGACCTACAGCGCGCAAAGGGCCAACTTAGGTGAAGTACCGTCTTCAGGTGAGTGGGCTCGCGGACATTACCTTCGATTTCAATTTCAGGAAGCAGGGCTGCATATGGTTGGGTGCCAAGAGGCCCCGTCGCCCGCTGAACCTACGATTCGCGACTGCTTTTATATATTGAGCTCAGGGCGAGGCCACATCCTGGGCACCACACTGATGGTGAACATGGAACTTCCATATGGCTCTGGACTTTATGGAGATGAGTACTTCAAGGAAAGCGATGTGAGAATCTTGCGCCAGGATCCGCGGGTATTGGTGACACACACATTGTCACGTTTGGGGTAGATGAGTTTGTTTATGTTATGCATGCCCCGCATCAGAATCATGATTCTTTGAATTACGACGAGTGGTGGGATCATGTTGAGCTTTTGTTTTCAAGGTGGCCACATACATTCGTAGATGGTGATGCGAATGCAAAGATTGGAGTTAACCCTGCACCTGGCGATGAGCACGGTTGCAATGTCGGAAGCTATCACCCCAGCTATTGCTGTACCGGCAACGACGATGGACCTGGGACTTGTCTGAGAAGGTGCGCAGGCTCCCACGACCTCTCTTCATCGAGAACACATTTCATGAGCACGACGGCGGCCATACGTATGTTAATATTGCCAAGGGCTTAAGCCGAATAGACTACAGTTTGACGAATCCCGAGTACCACCCCGCAGTCAAGGCGGTTTGGGTAGACTACAGTCTGGACAGATTTTTGGACGGCGAGGACCATTACCCAGTGGTTGCAGAGGTAAAGCTGACTACGGTGAAAGCTCCACGGTGAAAGGAGGAGAAGGAGGAAGAGGAGGAGGAGGAGGGGGAGGAGGAGGAGGAGGAGGAAGAGGAGGAGGAGGAGGAGGAGGAGGAGGGGGGAGGAGGAGACAAGGAAGTTGCCGGCGAGCCGCCCTCTGCCCTCGCGGCCCCCCGCCGCGGGAGGGGCGGCCCGCCTCGCCTGGGCTGCGGCGCCGCCTTATCCACGGCCTCCTCGCGAGGAAGGGGAAGAGACGGTTATCACAGGTTTTAGGGGAATCCCAAAAGGTTTACTCTGGAGGCCTCTAAGAAATATCTGGATGCCAACAAGGCCGCGAGACGCCCCTCCGAACCTAGATCCTCGATCCTCTTCGGGCCTCCCTACTCCTCATCCGCATTCTTCTAGCCAGCCTCTTCCTCCCTCCCCTCCCAAATCCGGGGATGTCTCTGGATGTCCCCGCAGATCCTTGAGACCGCCGCGGTATCCCAGGGGTCTGGACGCCGCACAAGGGTCAGATCTGCCCAGCAACTTCGATCTTCGATCCAGGCGGGGCATGACGAGGAAGAGGAAGCGGAGGAGGAGGAGGAGGAGGAGGAGGAGGAGGAGGAGAAGGAGTAGGAGGAGGAAGAAAAGGAGGACGAGGAGGAGAAGGAGGAGGAGGAGGAGGAGGAGGAGGAGGAGGAGGAGGAACGAGGAGGAACGTGGAGGAACGAGGAGGAAGCAGGAGGAGGACCGTCTGAAAGCCTCGATTCTTCATCCTCTTCAGCCCCACCCCTGCCTGCAGGTGGCGCTCCAGGCCGTGACGGGGAAAACGGAGGCGGAGACCCTGCGCCACGGTATCGCCCCAACGACGTCCGCTCACGCGGACTTGCCGAAGGGCCTCGTGGGGGTGAGCGTGGAGGCGGCCGCGCTTCCTGCAGGGGAAAGGGGGGTTCCTCCTTCCCCCATCCTCCTCCTCCTCCTCCTCCTCCTCCTCCTCCTCCTCCTCCACCTCCTCCTCCTCCTCCTGCATTCCTTCCTCCCTCCTCCCTCCTCCCTCCTCCTTCCTCCCTCCTCCTCCTCTTCCTCCTCCCTCCTCTTCCTCCTCCTCCTCCTTTTTCTCAATATCGAGCGGGAGCGCGAAAAACGCAGCATCGAGCAGCAGCGCACGAGGCGCAACATCAAGATTTGCGTGATCACAGCATCGAGCAGCGGCGCACGAGGCGCAGCATCACAATCCACGCGAGCACAGCAGGGAGACGCAGCGCAATAGGCGCAACACCAACAGCAATAGCTACGTGATCACAGCCGAGAGCAGCAGCGCATGAGGCGCATCGCCAACACCAGGATCTACGTCATCAAAGGTGGCACAGGCGGGGACTAAATGGCAAGGTTCGGGGTTGAAATAACCGAACCTCGACGGGTTCGTGGAGAACTGGATGGTGTGGTCGTTCGTGATGCGGGCCTTCCTTGGCGGTCAGACGGCGCAGGCTCACCTCCGACTGGGGGCAGCTGAGCAAGAGGGAGGTCCTGACACCAGCATGGCGGATACGTCGCTCAGGCTCGGCGCTGAAGGTGCGACGGCCAACAAGAAGATGTTCTTTTCACGTGTGGTGGAGGTGAAAGGAAGCGTCCAGATGCTGATCATAAGCGCACAGGGCCAGAACGGTGCGCTGGCCTGGGCGTTAGCCAAAAGGTACGAGCCAGCCACCGCGGTCAGAGCGCAGAGTATCATGACGAGCGCCTTCAGTGTGAAGCAGTTCCCTGGTACGTTGGCGGAGTTCGAGACACAACGCTCGGAGCAGGGGCGCGACAGGTGCGAGGCGGCGGCGGCGGGAGACGCGTTCAACGCAGGAGTGAGGAAAAACACCTTCCTACAGGAGGCGCCGCGCAACATGCGAACGGCGCTCCAGCTGCAGAACGCGAGGAGCTGCGACGAACTGGCCAGCGCGACGACACATCACCTGCAAGCAACAGCGGTGTACGACGAGTGCTATCAGCGGATCCAGACGGCGCCGAGCGGGTCTGGCGGAGGCAGAGGCCTCGGCGGTGCAGCGATGGAGGTGGCGGGTGCGCTGACGAGGCAGCGCGGCGGCAAGGGCGACCAGAAAGGCAAGGGCCAAGGCAAAGGATATCAGAAAAGGCAAAGGCACAGGCTGCGACGACAAGGGGCAGGGCCACGGCGCAGATCCGATGGCAAACGCAGCGACGACGAAGACAACCCCGTGGAGCATGACGGGCGCACCTGGAACCTGACAGTTCTACTGCTGCGGTGGACGAGGTCACTGCGAGCGGGGCCCTTGGCGCCGAGACGGCAAGGGCGCGAGCGGGCCGAAAGGCGACGGCAAGAGCGAGAAGGGCACCGCGAGCGAGGTCACCAACGACGGCTGGAGCCATGTCGGCGCATCGAGATCAGGCAGCCCAGCGCCTTCAACGGTCGGACCAACGGCAAGCCAGATTGGAGCTCAAGGGCCGCATCAGCCTGGAGTTGGAGCAATCGCGCAGCAGGAGGTGATCTACGAGAGCGAGTCGGAGCAAGCCTACGAGGGCGAGTGGGCGAGAGGCTGCATCTTCGCGATCACGACGACGGAGCACAAGAAGGTTCACTGCACGGTCTCAGACGGCGCCTGGAACGCCCCGTGGACGCTGGCGGACAACCGCGCAGACGAGCACGTCTGCGGTCGAGGCGGCCCCCCGCGCGCGCCGAGCAAGGGCCCGAAGCTGACGGTCGCTGACGGTAATCCCCTGCAGCGCTGCGGCTCGAAGACGGCGACGCTGCGCATCGCGGGTGGCAGGGGGGGCGTCGTGGAGTTCCAGGTCGCGGACGAGACGCAACCCATCGTGAGCGCTTGGGGGGTTCTGCAGCCCCACCCCCACCAGGTTGGCTTAGTACGACGGCAGAGGGGGGCTGTTGAAGCGCGAGACGGCGGGCCTGGTCAAGCCGACGAAGGTCAGCGACCATTGCGCGCTGGAGTGCCTGGCGAATGTCTACGACGACGCGGAGGAGGTCCGCGCGGAGATGGCGCTGCTGGCGCCCGTCGGGGCGGCGGCCGCGGCAGCGAGACCCGGCGATGGGGGCGGGGGGGGGGGGGCGGCGCAGCGGGCGCCGGGGGGCGCGCCGACAGTGCCTGCAGCAGGACCAGCGCGGCCAGCACGACCAGGATCGCGACCTGCCTCGGACGCATTGCAACAGGCACCAGAGGAGGACCAGCAGTACCAGGAGATAGGGGGCACGCGGGGCCAGAAATGACGGAGCGCGGACTACCTGGGCCGCGGGAACCAAGCGCGAAGGAGACCGAGAGGCGCGAGCTCACGCGCCACCCTGCTGAGCCCCGGTGCGAGATCTGCGCGAAGGCGAAGGCCGAAGGCATGGCGCGCAGGAGGAAGGACAGACGCGACGGGATCACCCCGTTGATGAGCTTCGACTACGGTCAGGCAGGCGTCGAGGGGGGCCCAGTCTACTTCGAGTTCGTCGCGGGCAGCGACGCTTCCGCGGGAGGGGCCTGGAGCTCGGCCATCGCCCAGAAGGGGCGAGACGACCTCCTACGCCGCAGCCTGGCCAGTCTCGTGGATCGCCGAGCTGGGCCACTCGCGCGCCACGCTACAATCGGGGGGCGCGGCGGAGTTCGCGCTCGTCGCGGCCGCGAGGGCCGGGGCGATCAAGGGCGGCACTTGCGAGGCGATCTTGCAGCGGCAGTCCGAGGGGTGCAGCGGTCAGGCGAACGGCGGAGCTGCATGAGAGGGCTACCCGGGCGATCAGGAAGCAAGGCAGGGCGCTGATGCTGGCGGTCTCAGACATGCTGAAGCACCGCCTCAGGCCCGGCTCGACGCCCCCCGCCCGGTTGCCTCGCCACGCTGCGCGGCTGCGCAATCGCAGCGCAGTTCGCAAGGGCACCAGCCTGACCCCCTACGAGAGGACCCACGTGCTTAAGCACCAGAAGCCGATCGAGGCTATAGGCGAAGCGGTGGCGTGCAGGAGGCCAGAGGCGCGGATCAACGAGCTGGAGTTCTCGCGGCCCGAGTGCATTTGGCCGGGCAGAGACGCGAGGGCGGGCGAGCGTCTGATTGGCACTCCGACGGGGGCGCGCAGGTCCAGGGCGGCAAGAATGAAGGTGGGGGCAGGCGCCGCGGGGGCCGGCGCCGACGGCGAGGGCGTCCGCCGACGCAGCGGTCGATGCTGGGGCCGATCTTACCGGGGCCGCTACCGCGACAGCTGGGCCCACGGGGCTGGGGGGCAGCGGCGACGGCAGCGGTGCCGCCGCGCGGAGAGCAATCGCCGCCCGCGCAGCCGGCGCCAGCGGCAGCGACAGGCCCGTTCGACGACGTCGGCGCGGACTGGGGCCGGATGGAGAAGAGGCCGAGGGCGGAGAGCGCAGGGCCCTCTGCGCCAAGGGCTTCGCCACCGCAACCAGGAGGGGCACCGCTGCCAGAGAGGAACCTGGGGGCATAAGAAGTCCCGAGTGACAGTCGTCAGCGCAGCCAGGGAAATGCGCGAGGAGCCGACGGTGGAGAACGAGGGGGCCCACGCGCTGGAGTGCGATTTCATGGGGACCAGGAATAAGCACCTCGAGAGGATTACAGGCGAAGGGAAGGTCATCGTGAAGGTGATCCCGATCAGCGAGACGACGTCCTGGACCCTGACTGGCCAGCGGGTCGACGCCACCAGGCGGACGGCGCGAATAAGAGCAGGTGGGCCGCGAGGGGCTTCGAGCAGCGACCCTGCGGGCGCGAGAACTTTACGGCGACGACGCCGTCGTTGCACCGCCCGAGAGCGATGTTGGTCAACGCGGAGATCCACGACCACGTCGTGGCGCCCGGCGACTGCAGCGGGGCGTTCTACCAGGCGCCGCTGACAGGGGGTCGCATCTTCCTAGAGCCGCCGCCTGAAGCTGAAGCACGCGAAGCACATGTTCGGAGGGCCCTGCGCGCATTCCCAGGGCCGAAGGGTGCGCCGATGGCCCGGGGGTGCCACGGCGCGGGGCCCCGGGGGGGGCGGGCCAGGGGCGGGGCGCCATGGCGGGCGTCTCTTCATGGGGGCGACGGACAAGGCCAAGGCGGGCAGGCGTGCCAGCGACTTCTTGCTGACGGGGCCGCGCGAGTCAGCCGACGAGCTCTTGACCGACGCGGGCGACGAGCTGAGGCTGCCAGACGCGGTGAAGCTGCGCAAGGGCGGCGACGAGGCGACGTTCCTGAGCACGCAGGTGAAGAATATCAAGGGCGGCTACCTCGCCGGCGGGAAGACCTCGCTGATAGACGACATCGCGAAGGAGCTCGGGCTGGAGAAAGCGAAACCCTCGGTGTCGCCAGAGACCAAGACCGACGCGAAGATCAAGGGTGGCGACGTGAAGTTGGAAGCGAGAGGCCATAGTCGGCGTCGCACCTGCGCGGGCAGGCTCATCCAGTTGGCCGGCCGCAGACCCGACATCCTGCATGGAGCTGGCATTCTCAACCGAGGCGCGGCGGGGCCAGCGGGAGTGGACTTGCGATGGCGCGGCACCTGCCGGGCGCGAAGGACCTCGAGATGAAGCCGACCCCCGACAGGAGCGAGGCCCCTGCGCGGCGCATGGTCGATGCGGACTGGGCTGGCGACAAGACAGACTGAGTATCGGCGAGAGGTGGAGTGCTGAAGTACTGCGGGTGCGCGGTGCTTCCATGTGCTTCCCTGGTTGAGGCTCCGAGGATGCGCGGCGCTGGGTTCGGCGGAGAGCGAGCTGCATGCGCTGGGTTCAGGAGCTGCAGAGGCGCCTGGCTCGGCGCCGGCGCTCGCGGGGTGGGGGGGGGCCGACGGCGCCGCGGATGGGGAGCGACGGCAGCGGCGCGCTGCGCATGGTCAAGAAACGGGGGCATGGCAAGATTAAGCACGCGGAGATCAGGTTCCTGGCGCTGCAGCAATGGAGCGAACAGCGCGTCTCGCCTTCGACGAGGTCAAGGCGGACGACGACGAGAGCGACGCGCTCGCGAAGCTCACGTCCAAGGAGAAGCTCTAGAAGTTCAGTGAGATGGCAGGCCTGGCGAGGCCTCGCACGCCGCCTCCCAAAGCGGTCGAACCGGCGAAAGGCAGCAGAGGTTTGAACCAGCAAGGGAGCGGTTGGAGTAGCAGTTTAAAGCAGTCGGATGACATGTAGAAATCAGTGTATAGGGTGCGCGGGGCCGAGGGGGCCCGCCGATCCCGCCCCCGAGGCTTCGAAGCTTTTATAGCGTTTCCCTTTGGAGGCCTCGGTCCTGAGAGGACCTGGCGGCCTCGATGGCGCGCTGAGGGAAATCGAGGAGAGAGAGAGAGAGAGAGAGAGAGAGAGAGAGAGGGGTAGATCGTAGCCATAGCCTCCTTGGCACAAGAGTTGTCATTTCTTCTTCTTACTAGTCTAATGGTTTTCGATATTAATAATATTATTATTAGTAATAATACTAACAACCATGTCATATCATTGTCTTCCGCGCTATTCTTTACGCTTCGCGTATCCCCACCAGCCCATCTCACAGCAGCAACTCTCGCGAAGCATGCCGACAGTCGTGTTTTTCAGGCGTGTGTCCGCTGGGCCCCGCATATCTCCCCTGTTCCTCCTTCCTCCCGCCTCCTTGCACATCCTCCTTGTGGGGGGGGCGGGAGAAGGACGAGGCGAAGGAGGAGGAAGAGAAAGCGCTCCTCGTGGTTTGGGTCGTTTGGGGTTTCTCGTCCTGGTCTGAGTCGTTCGGGCCCTTCTTCCTGGTGTGAGTCGTTCGGGCTCTTCGTGGTGTGAGTCGTTCGGGCTCTTCGTCCTGGTGTGAGTCGTTCGGGCTTCTCGTGGTGTGAGTTGTTCGGGCCCCTCGTCCTGGTGTGAGTCGTTCGGGCCCCTCCTCCTGGTGTGACTCGTTCGGGCTCCTCGTGGTGTGAGTCGTTCGGGGCCCGCGTCGTGGTGTGAGTCCTTCGGGCTCCTCGTGGTGTGAGTCGTTCGGGCGCCTCGTCCTGGTGTGAGTCGTTCGGGCCCCTCCTTGTGGTGTGAGTCGTTCGGGCTCTTCGTGGTGTGAGTCGTTCGGGCCCCTCGTCCTGATGTGAGTCGTTCGGGCTCCTCGTGGGGCCTCTTGGGGGCCTCTTGGAGCCTCGTGGGGCCTCTTGGGGGCCTCTTGGGGGCCTCTTGGGGGCCTCTTGGGGCGTCGTGGGGGCCTCTTGGGGGCCTCTTGGGGGCCTCTTGGGGGCCTCTTGGGGCCTCGTGGGGCCTCTTGGGGGCCTCTTGGGGGCCTCTTGGGGGCCTCTTCGGGCCGCTTGGGGGCCTCTGGGGGGCCTCTTGGAGGCCTCTTGGGAGCCTCCTGGGGGCCTCTTGGGGCCATCTTGGGGCCTCTTGCGACCTCCGCAGAAGCGCAAAGGAGAGCTGCCCCGTGAAAAGGACAAAATGAGCCCAAAACCTTCGTAGCATCAATGATTTTGCTATGAGGGAAGAGAAGCGCGGCCCCCTCAGGAGGCCAAAATGGGGCCCAAACCGTAGTAAAATCAACGATTTTGGTTTCAAAGAAGAGCAAAGGGGCCAAACTCGGTCCCCCCGTCGGGGCCAGAATCCCCGTGAGGGTCGTCGTTTTTTGGCCCTCCCAGGGGTCGAAAAAGACTCCCCTGACGACCCGCGGCCCGCCCTCTCCAGGCCCAGGGGGAGGGGGGAGGGGGAGGGGTAAACCCTTCCCCGAAGGGGAAGAAGGGGGGTTGAGGACAGAGCGGGCTCTCTAAACCACTCACGCCCAAAGGGCTGGTGGGATTCTTAGTAGTATTGTTCTGCTGTTTGTTATCATTCCTGTTATGATGCCTCTTTCCTCCGCCCCCATGCCGCTGCTGCTGCTGCTGCTGCTGCTGCTGCTGCTGCTGCTGCTGCTGCTGCTGCTGCTGCTGCTGCTGCTGCTGCTCGTCCTCCTCCTCATCCTTCCGCCTCTGCGCGCGGAGCGCCGGCGGTCGCGAAGCCAGCAGCGGGGCCTGGCGCTGTAGACCTTGGCGCTCAGGCTCATCGCGAAGGCGCTTGCGATGGAGGTGCCAGCGCGGACGTCGGCGCGCAGCTGCGCGAGCTCGGGGCGGCGATGGCGACGGCC